CCCGCCTACTACGCTTGCAAAGGTAAAATTATTGGCTAGAATCCAAAGTGTATCACATCTCAGGGGGAAAAAAAGCACCAAAATAAAGCACCGAAATGTGCGCTGCTTTTCGGTCTGGTTACTACCGTTTATGTCAGAACCGGTGCCATTACCGGTACCCATCCCTACTTAGGACTTGCCTGATCCTCTGCAGGTACTTGGTGGCTGCAGCTTTCCTAGCGGCGTATTCATAGTTTCCATTTGCCTCTGGGATTCCCCAGGTTCTTATAGCTGTCCTCGATGTCTGCAATGTTACATTCTGTAGTTTGATCCCCTCAGTTCTGACTACCTTCCTTCTCTTCGTTATCCAGACTACACTTCTCCAATCTGAACAACATTCTAATGTCGTTGCTGTATATCCTGGTGGTGTGGATCAGTGAATCGATGTTTTGTTCACTTTTGGCATACAGCTAGACGTCATCCATGTAGAGGAGGTGGCTGACCATATTCCTCTCAAAGACCCATAGGCAGTCTTATCAAGGAGCTCACTGAGGCGGGTTCAGGCCTATGCAGAACAGCAGTGGACACGGCATCTCCTTGGACAATCTTGCACTTGATGGTGACTTGTGCTATTGGCTTCAAGTTGGCCTCTAGTGTTGCGTGCCACATCCCTACTGAATCCCCAATCCTGATGACGACTGATAGGATCCTGTTGATCTAGGCATTGATCATAGGCAGGTTCTAGGTATTGCAGGGTCCATGTGTGGGGCAGTAAGTCATAGGCTTTCTTGTAGTCAAACCAGGCAGTAAACTTGCAATGTTCAGTACTATTGACCATAAAATCTTTTTGCAGTGATAAAAGGTACTACACCGCAGTGGTTTGAACCTCATCTATCTAATAGACTCCAATTTGTTCATCTAAGTGGAGATTCCTCTTCACACACTTAGATTAATTATGAAGTTCCACATGGTTCTGTCTTAAGACCAATTCTTTTTACATTATACATGCTTCCCTTAGGAAGTATCATTAGCATACATTTTTACTGCTATGCAGTTGATACCCAACTTTATCTATCCATGAACTCAGAAAATGCGCACCATTTAGTTAAAGTGTGGGAATATCTTAAAGATACAAAGACATGGATCACTTCTAACTTAATTAAGATAAAACAAATCATTGCACTCTGTTTTTATTTACATTTTACAGTGTCCAAGGGGGGTTGAAATTTATTCTGCCAACAATTCCACTGCATTCAAAGTTTTGCCACTCCAAAATTGAGTATCAATAAATTCAAATTCAGTTCTGAAATTGTTAAGAAATGTTATAATTTTTGAAGGAAGCATATATAAATAAACAAAAAACAGTCAGAAATATTTGTCAAAGGAGAGAATTTCATTGTCCCTAACCTAAAGCTGAAGTTCAGCCCCACTCCACTTCATGTCTCCTCCTTTATGCTGCAGCTATAAATATTTACAGATCGTCTCGTTCAGCTGAGAGGAAAGCAGCTGAGTAAAATGTTATGTGTAATTTATTAACATCTTATGAAAAGTTTAGGTTTGAATATTGTATATAAGTGCTTGCTGTTTGTTCTTTGATTAATCTGCTCATTTATTAACAGGTGGCTGAGAAAGAATATGTCATAATGAGGTAACATGTATTTGTAAAACAGTATTTAAAGAACTGAAATTTCTTTAATCTGGTCAAATACTCTTTTTCATATCGAAAAGGATCATCCATAACATTATTATTGAATTGTCTTTTTTACTGTGGGATATTGTGTAAAAATTGGAAAACTCCAGTGAGATTGTGTCATTTGTGCTGGCTGCTTATGGAAATGTTGGGGAGTTAAAATACCTGTATTTTGTAATAATAATGTTCTGGTACCTCTCTATATGTGTGGCCAACACAGTCCTTATTGTGGTCATACGTGTGGACATACAGCTGCATGAGCCAATGTATATACTGCTTTGTAACTTATGTGTGAATGAGATAAATGTCAGCACATCACTATATCCTCTTTTGCTCTCACAGATGTTTTCAGACAGCCATGAAGTGACTGTGCCGTGGTGTTTTCTGCACATGTTTTGTTTGTACATAAGTGGGCCTGCTGAATTTTGCAGTTTAGCAGCCATGGCCTATGACAGATATATCTCAGTCTGTCGTCCATTACGCTATAATGTCATTATGAACACAGAGAGAGTGTTTTTCATGATTCTCTTCGTGTGGATATATTCATTCCTTAGTGTAATACTATCATTCTCATTTATCTTCAGTTTGAAGTTTTGTGGAACTATTATTGAAAATGTGTATTGTAACCACAGATTAATACTTAGACTTTCATGTTCACTTTCGGTCTATAGCTTTTTATCTGATATATTCTTTCTCATTGTGAGCTTTTTCATACCATTCACTCTCATTTCAGTCTCTTATGTGAAAATCTTGGCAGTTTGTCGAAAAACATCCACAGAAAACAAGCAGAAAGCTGCGACTACTTGCGTCCCTCAGATCGTCTCTGTGTCAAACCTGTTTGTTGGCTCAATTTTTCAGTGTATCGATTCCAGTGTTATATTTGCTCATCTACCAGTCCGCATAATTTTATCTATATATCTTTTCATCTGTCAACCAATGCTGACTCCATTTCTCTATGGATTTAATTTGCCCAAGATAAGGCAATCATGTAAAAAGCTTTTGTTTAAGAAAAATCAATAGCTTTGTTCACCAGGAGACTTTTCTAGGGAATCTCTGCTCTTTGGGAAACTATCCACAATCATCTTATAGTCTGTAAACATAAAGAAAATTTATTTTATTTTATTTACAATAGGCCAGTGTCATTTAGTGCATGTGATGGGTTTTTTTTTTTTCTTTTTTGGGGAGGGGGTACACTTTCCACTTTGCTCCTGGGATGTGTGTGATGCTCACAAACAAAACAATGTATTAAACACATGTGTATGAATACAGTGATTTTTTTCTTAAGAAGAATTTATTTAGAATAAACCATCAGACTAATTTCACAGCTTAACCCACTGTATACTGTTACCCTTGACAATTAAGATAAGGCACATTTTTCTTTTGCAGGGTTTTTATATTTGGGAATAGCTTTTGATCCTCTTTACAAATAATCTCTAAGGTTATGAATGTTGAATAACTACATAAAAATATTTCTGCTTATTGTAAGCTTGATATAGACATATGTCTTATGGGGATACAGCTTATATATTGTAATAACAGCTCTAAACACCAACACTGCACGTTATTAGACTTGAATCGTGATATACTTGGGATTTAATCACATCAGCTCAACACAAAAATATGTTGCATCCTTTAAATGACCAGGTCAGCAACAAAGGTTATAGTGAAGCTACAGTTACACAAAAGCATAAGATGTATGTCTGCAAGTATTAACTAAATATTTATGTGTGCTACGTGGACATAATAGTAAATGTGCTTAGGTGAAATTGACCTTTCAATAACTTTATCACTTTAGTCTGTTAACCAGCAAACTAGTGTATGCTGGTAACTAGCAGTTTTCCCTTTACCAACCTAAATTAAAGGCTAGCATTAGTATTTGTTGGCATCAGTCAAAAAGGTCTGAGGCTAAAACTAGGGTCTAAAGTAAAGGTATCTGTAAAACACGAGTCATTATTATATAACTTATGAGACTCCCAAATTATTCTTTCTTGTTTATACCTGTTAAGGCAGACTGAACAGACTCAGGTGTGGACTAAGGGAGAAAATGCATTGAAGGTTTATTTACAAACAGTGAGTTATATACAAATGTGGGGGAGTCCGGGGTCCTAGGGATCCACAGAAAGGGGGTAGAGGGACATCACACTTGACCGTCGATCCACACACCACGCTCCACTTCAGCCACAGCACAAGCTCCACTCCTGACACACCACGCCACTCTGCCAAACACTCACGCTCAGGAATCCAGGGGAGAGAAACAAGGATAGGTCCAAGAAATCTATGCACAATAAACAGATAATGAGATCAGAACCAGGAAATCAAAGGAAAACACGAGAGAAGGTTAGAGCTGGGGCTACACAAATGTGAGGGTTTTTTTTTTTACCTTATTTTTGTTTTTAAGAAAAACAAGAGCCACATATGAGGACATTTGTTTAAAATTTTGATAGAACAGTAGCAATATAATGTCCTCGTAAGTAGATATCAGGCCCTTATAGAGCAAAATTGAGTATTTTGGTCTAAATAACCCAGAATGTGATGTCCACATATGTGGAGTACCAGGATAACAATCCACAGGTCACAGGAGTGATTGCTGCAGGTGCGTGAGCCAAAGGCAGGCCCAGGAATGTAATCGAACTGTTTATCAGAGGAAAAATGTGATTTTTGGGGGACACTCAAGCCAAGATTAGCTGTGACAATGTTAGTTTATGACCAGCTGTTGCTATTTAGCCAGCTCTTGTCAGCTGTCCAGAGACAGGAGGGTTGCATGTGTGATCAGCTGACGATAAATCAACATGTTTTTGCATGTTTTCGTGTGTCAGAGCCCTGATTTAAGTTCAGGAGGTGAAGCTTGATGTGAGAAGGAAGAAGGCAGTGTGTTATTAAGATGCCAAATGCCAGTCTCTTTCATTTCTCTGTTGACGATGACCACTTTGCTGATGATAAAACATATATATGATCTTTCATATCTTGAGTCTGAAAGTGCAGGCACCAATTTAAATAATGCAAACAACTTCTCCTCCACCTTTGGCATGCTACATATGTCACTGGCAGGGCTGGACTGGGACAAAAAATTGGCCCAGTGACCGCCTCCACAAACCGCAAACTCACTCTTATGTATTTTTAAGAATTATAAGTTTTGAGAATGCATTTGTTTGCTGGAAGGTGTACTTACACATTACTGTCTCTATATTTATGAGTACAGTGTCCTTTTTCTCTGAAAAAAAATCAAAAATTACTGACTGTACCTTTAAAATAAAACATATCAAGAAACTGCATGTATAATTCTACTGACTATCATAGACGCATTCAGCAAAAAAAAAAGAAAAAAAAATAGATGCATTCAGCAGCTGTGGCCACCAGAGGTCAGTACTACACCTGGCATTGGAAACCTGAGTGCTGGGATAGAGGTAGTTCCTCTGAGCTGCCTGCTGGATAGTTTGAGAGCAGCTCCTCAGAAGGTAAATCAAACCGTACTCACAACATTTGCAGTACTCTGGCATTTTTAATATACAAGAGTCGACCATTCATTTTCTGCTTAATGGCATCACAGTGTTGCCTGTACATCTTTGTTAGTGTTTGTAAAGTTATGCCCATGCAAGAAAAGTATTTTCACTGTCAGGCCTAAGTGTCTACATGATAAGTGAATGTAATAAAAGCTGAGCTGGCTGCTGGGCAGTTTAAGGATTGCTGAAATAGGGAGTAAATCACTGCATCGCATAGGACAGTGTTTGTTCTTGTTGAATTTTTAATCTACAGGGTGGGCCATTTATATGGATACACCGTAATAAAATGGGAATGTTTGGTGATATTAAAGTCCTGTTTGTGGCACATTAGTATATGCGAGGGGGCAAACTCCTCAAGATGGGTGGTGACCACGGTGGCCATTTAGAAGTCGGCCATCTTGGATACAACTTTTGTTTTTCCAATAGGAAGAGGGCCATGTGACACATCAAACTTATTGGTAATGTCACAAGAAAAACAATGGTGTGCTTGGTTTCAACTTAACTTTAAACAGAACTTTAATATCACCATCCATTTCCATTTTATTACAGTGTATCCATATAAATGGCCCACCCTGTATATTATTACAAGTCTGGATCTTTCCTATTAAGTCCTGCTTAATAGCATCACATATCAACTGTTTATGTTTGATAATGTTCTGAAAGTAAGAACCATGCACCAAAGGCCTCTTTCAGGAATTTTATGATTTATTTAAAAAAAATAATGGCAAAAGGAATCAACACAGAATAATTCACATCTCCCAAAGAAAGTCTTTTTCCTTTCTGTTTTTTTTTTTCTTGTTTGGTTGGTTGGTTGTTTTTTTGTTTTTGTTTTTAATTCTGTGGTAGCTGGGATACAAACACCAAAATCACCATTTGTCATTTCACCACACAAGGGAAGTTTTGTGTTTCTGCAGCAATATAAAGAGTAAAAATAGTTCCAAAAAGTAATTTTTAGTGGCTGAATTTTATGTTTAATTCATTTCTGACTCCAGTGTGAAGTCCAGTGTGCCGGCTCAAATCTGAGTATCAAGCATGAATTTTGTTTGGTATTTGTCTAATGTATAACAATATAAGTTTTAGTTATAAACAAGTTTTTAACAGATTTCTAAAAATATTTGTCTTTTTTTGCTTTTATAACAGGTGGTCTGATAAACATGTTGAGAACTGTACCTTGCTTTATTGCGTCTTCAGTCACTTTCAAACAGACCAGAAAACAGTTCTGCTGCATCAAGTTTAGATACATTTTTTCATATGAAGGGCATGTTTCTCTCGATGTCGATACTTGCATTCCCAGTGTTTATTTAGTCTGCATATCATTATGTTAGCATTAGCCAGCTTTTCCCAGTATATGACACTCCTGAGCTGTGTCCCAATTCAGGGTCTGCTCACTTGAAGTAGGCATTTTAATCGTGATTACGTCAC